GTGTGTGTGTGTGTGTGTGTGTGTGTGTGTGTGTGTGTGTGTGTGAGTTGACTGTAAACAAGGTGCTCTCTGACAGCCTTTGTGTAACAGGTGAGAGTAAAGCGAGGCAGTGAGGCTGAACCTCTCTCTCTGTCTGAGCATCACAACGAGCCGTCAGGTTGAAGCTGCTGTCAGACGCTTCATGTTCACTCCTCTCTGCATCAGAGGAGAGGAGAGCAGCCGCGACGTGGTCCATTGTTGGCCAGCGTTTTGATATTCAGCAGTCACGTGTGATATCAGACCGGATCATATGAGGAGTCCAGCAGCATGACACCGGTTACAAAACCACTTCAGACGAGCTGCCGGCTTTTTAAGTGAAATGTTTCCCCTGATGCAGAGAACTGGGGCGGAGTTATCGGATGTCTAAATACTGAGAGGTTATCAGGATCAATGGTGCTGCGTGTGCTCTTCATCCACGTCTTCATCAGAGAGCTTCACTCTGCTCAGTGTTCATGTGTTAGAGGAGGAACGGTGATGAAATATGTAAAGACAAGATAAGACTATTGACAGACAGGCTATAATCACCCAATGAAACTGTTTGAAAAGAACAACTTATATCCTGAATATACATTGAAGTGTGTAAACAGAGACAGTGTTGTGCTGCCTACCAACAGTCAGCAGCAGCTCAGTCTAAGACATGGAGCACATGTTTTTATATTCAGTGTGACTTCCTCAGCTGTCCGTCATGAACAAACGTCCATAAATCTGCGTAAATAAACATTGAAAAATGACGATCTTTATAAACTGGTTTGATCTATCAGCTCCACCAGAACACACTGAGTGTCTCTCTACCTCTCTCTACCTCTCTCTCTAGAGAAAGAAAGATGGGTTCTCTCTTTCTCCCCCCTCATCTTATTTTTTATATCTTAAATTCTCTTTTTATTAGTGATTTCTTTATTTATTTCTCCTTGTTGAGCTCTCGTGGAGCCTGAGGTCTGAGGTTGTCATTGTTAACACATGCGTCTCTGTGACTGTAGTTCGCATGAAGTGGAGCTGGAGCTGAAAGCTGCTTCTTCGATATCGTTGGCAGCAGTTTTTACTTGAACTTTAACCTCATGATGAGGAGTTTGTGTGAGTCGATATCGGCCTCGAACGCCTCTTGAACGTCGTTGTTCTTGCCGTCCTCTCACACAGCTGCTGAGTTTAATTAAGCTGAATGTTGTGTGTGATCCCTAAAGATTCACGTAGATGTGGAGGTGGTGAAAGGGTTTCATACAGTCTGAGACTAAATGAGCTTTCAAAGGTTTTCCTTCACATAACTGTATTTACACCAGTATGAAGCTCAGACGTGTTCTGAAGCCTCACAGAGACCCAGAGGAACCTGGTCTTCATAGTCCACTTCTGTTCTAATGAAAGCCGCCCTCCTCTTTCAGTCCTGGACTGGAGGATGACGGATCCGAACCACCCCATGAACGCTCTGATGCGTCTGAACCAGATCCACCCGGGCCTGCAGTACCGCCTGCTGTCCCAGTCCGGCCCGGTCCACGCTCCGGTCTTCACCATGTCCGTGGAGATCCAGGGAACCAGCTACCACGCCACCGGGAACTCCAAGAGGACCGCCAAGCTGCAGGTGGCCCTCAAGGTATTCACTTTAAACTGTCTCATGAAACCTTATACGCCGATGCAGCGCAGTACATAAACTATGAATAATACAAGTACAGATGAAGCCTTCTGGTAACAGCTAGAGGGTGTTTCTTTATGAGGAGGTTGTCGGTAAAAGATTGACAGGAAGTTGGTCAAAACAAAGACGGAGTGTTGGTCAGTCCGTCTGCTTCACTGATGAACATTTATCTGCAACATGAAATGATTGAAGTGAGATGAACCGAGTAAAGTCTTTTAACTCAGGAGTTAAAACTCATGTTGAAAAACTGCATAATTTGCAGTCAAAGAAAAGCAATACATCAGAATACATGTTCTCCTGATACTCACAAGATGCAATATGATGGTATTGAGTTAAGTATTGTGATAATGTTCATATCCTGGAGACTCCGCTGTAGTTTTAACGTCCTCTGAATAAAAGCAAAACAAATATAAATGTGGAAACGAGTATTTGCATCAGAATCCGTTCATTTTACTCTTTCTAGTGAAAATAAACAAATAAACATCCACTATTAGTTTTATACAATTATTACTAATAACACAAGCTGTGACACAATTCTGTCCTACATACTAACTTTACACAATGTGTACTACTCACTAATCTAGTGTACAAGGAAGGAACATACTAATGTATTAAAACTGTGTTGTGTTAACAGGAAATACATTAAACTTCTCAGATAGAATGCTCAATGTAACTCTGCTGTTCTTTACTTTATATTTATATATAAAAACTCTCTTTCTGTGCCTCTTAACCGTCCTTTAGATAAATATATTCATGATGAAGTGAAACGTGTAATAAGTGTAAGTGAAGGGAGTAACCACACTTGAGCAGCTCTTCCTCTGTCTGTTACTGCAGCTCGTCAGAGTGTCGGATGTTTAACACAAACAACAACAAACAAACAAACAAACAGAGACAAAGGAACTCTTTTCAGATCGATGACGGAACAAAAGTCGATGTTCTCTTTTGTGAAAAAGCTTGTTTTGTTTTTTTAACTTGTTGTTTGACTGCTCACACGTTCTGTTGCTCACACGCATTGATTCACTCAGTTCCACATTCACACGTCAGAGCTGCCCGGTACTCCCAGTACACCCAGTACACCCGGTCTCTGTGGTGGTGATGGTCAATGAGCAGCCTCACAGCAGCAGCTGTCCGCTGGTTTGAGCTCAGTCATAGATGACGGGTGTGAGCGCGTCAGAGACATTAGAGAAAGTGTACCGGGTACTTTTATAACTACATTCGGACCCGACTATTTACTGAAGATGATGGAATGACGGACTAGGGACCTGACTATTTACTGAAGGTGATGGAATGACGGACTAGGGACCAGACTATTTACTGAAGATGATGGAATGACGGACTAGGGACCAGACTATTTACTGAAGGTGATGGAATGATGGACTGCTGTTCCCCCTCAGGCGCTGCAAGCTCTGGGCTTCGTACTCGGAGCCGACGGAGACATGGACTCGCTGAGCGCCGACGAGAAGTCAGACGGAGAGGGCAAGAACGACAGGCTGTCCACCAGCTCCAGCTCCACCTCCATCACCTCCTCCACAGACATACAGGAGGTGGGAGGAGCACGCACACACACACGCACACACACACGCACACACACACACACACACACACACACACAC